ATATGTGTTTCATATGGGCATGTAGGGGGTTTATTTAGGGCTCTAGGTTATAGGGATATAGGGATGTTTAGGGTTTAGAGTGAGGAGTTTCTAAGACTCAGCACCATTGCTCCATGAGCAAGCTTCAGCATCCTTGCGAACAGCGCAAAGAAGCCCAAATGGTTTTGGGGTTTAGGGTTTAGGGTTTAGGGCCCAAAGCTAGTCGAATACGCCTGCGTGCTGGCCTGGTTTAGGGTTTACGGATTGCTTGCTTCATGGGTAGTTCTCTAGATTAGGGTCCCTGTTTAGGTCCCCAATATAGTACGGCACCCTTATAAAACGGACCCCCGAAAGGGACCCTGATTTTGAGAACTACCCTCACCTTTTTTGAAAAACTTTGTAGAGCCACCTTCAGCCCTAAGCCCTCAACCCTAAGGCCGGAAGCCCCATATTGAACTACGGAAGACGCGAGCTTTGCGGGTGCTAGGGTGATGACAAGAGCCGCTTGAGGGCTGAGCAGCTGCAATCGAGTACATTTCGGAGATGGGTAGGGTTTAGGGTTTAGGGTTTAGGGGATAAGCCATAAACCCCTAGACACTAAGCCCCAAACCCTAAACTCTATGCCATACACCCCTGGACACAAAACCCTCAACACTTAACCCTGAACACTAAACCCTAAACCCTAAACACTAAACCCTAAACACGAAACCCTAAATCCTAAACCCTCAGCCCTAACACTCTGCATCTGCTGAAGCTCCATGCTTGATCTGTGCATGCCGCTGCCATTTCATATCAATCCAAAATACGAACATACTCCAAGAATCACCTGTGTACCAGGGGTCTTTTTTTCTTCCCGCCCTACCCACCCTAATACAGGGCTCCGCCCTCCCTAGAAATTTCTGGAAGGCGAGCTCGCCAGTTCACTCGTCACGAGAGCTCCCTAGTTGTGGAGTGGCATTGTCGATGCCGGGAGTATACATCATGGAGCCCGTCGACGTGGATGGGATGTGTTTACCCTCGAGCTCCCGATCAGCGGGATCCGTGAGTAGCTGACCACACCGTGTGGACGACCAGCTTAGGTTGTGGTTCCGGGGGGTTTGTCGGCTGGTGCCACCCTTGCACCAGTGTCACTGGCCAGCCTGAGCTGTGGACAGCTGTGTCGGGCCTCGAGTGTCGACGCTGCCAATGCACTATGGGCGCGTCCATGCAAGGAAAAAGAGACGGAGTGCACTGCATGAGTGCTTATTAAAACCAAATAGTAGGAAAAAGGGTACCCTTATTATTAAAGGGCTACTGGGGAACCTAGACCCTAAACTCTAAACCCTAAAACCCTATACCCTA